ACAGGGCTTCAGGGCGCACACACGGAGACACTCTGACGCAGTTCTCATGTAACACTCAGTTCTGGGGTTAAGTGAGTGTACAAACTCCCACCTGCTTCCCACTTCTGCTTCCTGAAACTCCCGAAACATTTGTGACACCTGAAACTGGGATCTCTGGTTGGTTTAGGAATTAAACAACTCAGAGTTAAGCCAACAACAAGCCACAGGAGACAGTTGGGCTTCAGGAATCGGAAGTCGTGGGCAAGTGGCAGTGCACTCATGTGTTTCCATGTGGCCAGGCCCATTTCCAGGAACTGAACATTACAAGTGAGCTGGGTCATTCTTAGCAGCAGCACATATGAAAAAAGGAGACATGTGTGGCATTTCAGCAATGGATAGTGGCCCTCATTCATCAGCCTGTTGTGGGTGTCCTGGAGGTCCCTGGTTAGCCACTGTGATGAGCAGGACAATGGACGAGGTGACTCTTTGGTCTGATTCAGCAGGGTTCTTCCTAAATCCCTAATTCGGTTAACACAAGTGTCACAGGCTTAAGCCTTCTATCCTATTGGTTTGCTCCCATTTTAAACATAGGAATACAGAAACAGCATGAGGGTTCCAGTTCAAGCATATGCTATCTGCATAGATGGGAAGAGTGCCACAAAAAGAAAATGGTGGGTTCCCTGGAGTGTGGGTGTGATCCAACTAGCTTGCACAAAGAAGTGCTTGCTGGCACCACAATTCATCTCATGGCTCTCTTAGTGTTGCTCATACAACGTTAGGTTCAGCAGTACAACAGACAGCACTGGCAGAATAGGGTTTCTGCATCCTTTCCTGTGCTGCAGCCCCTCTTCATGTGCCCTTCAGACCTACTCCAGAGGGCTCCCAACTTTCTGGAAATGTTCTGGAAGACATACAGAGACTGCAGGGCAGGGCAGGCATGGCTAAAATATCTTCTCCGCTGGTGGGATGATAAAGTTGGATCCAACCTATAGTTAGTGGCCATGCAGAAAATTGCTTGCTAGATGCAATGCATTGAAAAGTATAGCCAGTGGTAACAGTTACTATGATAAGAGTCGTGACACTCTTTCCTCATTCATGATTGTGCAAAGGTAGAAGTGCTCTTGAGTTTCACTATTAGCTGCACTCTTTAACAAGGTCTAGCTCCAGGATGTATGCCATATGATAGATATCTAATGCTCCATCCTGCATGTATTTTATAAATGTATTTTATAAAATGCATTTGATACGTCATGTTAATTGTAAGGGTTAACTTGTAAGCCAGAATGTTTAGTAATGCAGCCTTCTTTTAATTCCACTCTACAACTGAGCTAAAATTTGCATGTTCAAATGCCCTTCCTTCAGGGGGTCAGCTTAGGTGCGAGGTGGGAGTGGGCAGGTGCTTCCCCTCCGCCAACCTGTCTGGTCCCACCAGTGCCAATACAACTTTGTTCGTTTATGTTATATAAGTGTAATTCACAAAATGTACATGCGTTTAGTGAAGTCCAGGTTCTAAGTAGTGAAAGTTATATTCCTACGTGGTGTCACAAAGCCAGAAGTTAAAGTAAAGTGTTGGTTGGGTTCTTTATGTTCCAAAAAAGGAGCTATGTGAGAATAACTCTAATGATTAAAAAAGTCATGCATATTGCATTTTTATCAAACTTTATATAGCAAAGTGTCAACAGAGTTGACTTCAGGTATATATGCTAAATGGAATAGTATTTTTTAAGATATAGAAATAACAAAACCAGTTAAATGAAACCATTAACAGTCACTTTGTCTGGCTACAAGAGAGTTCTCTTGCTATAATTATAACACAAGAGGTCATTGCAATGGAATTGCCAGCTTTCAAGCGATATAAGACAATTCTTCTCAAGGGAGTCAATGAATTTGTAAAACAAATACAGTTGAAATTTCAGACATTAATCTCTTTTTTTTTACATGGTATGGGAAAAGAGAGCTGTGAAATGAAATTTTCCCCTAACGCCCCCACAATGGCATTCATATTTTTTAACAACAAATTTTCACATGTAGACAGTTAACATAGCATTTAACTTCTATAAACATTGCTTTTTCTGGCAGTCAGCACTGGAGCAACGCTGTAAGACTGGAGCACCTCTCCTAGTCCTGAAGTCATCGAGAACATGTGCTCAGAGCTGGGCTGGACTGCATGAAGTGCTCCCTGGATAAGCTTTGGGATGGAGGCTCCCATGTTTACACCAAGCTTTAGCTACGGAAGCCCAGGTCACAGATCCAGCTTTCAAATTCCAGAAATTAGACCACAGCTTTTAATGGATTCAGATTACTGTCTTAAGTTGCCACTTCCTGATTTTAAAAACATCAGTATATTTTAAAGGAGGCTCCTAAAACTGTCACTTAATTATACCAAGACCATTCTGTTACATCATCTGAAACAGCCATTGCTGCCTGGCTTTGCATTAACTCCAACTCCAGAAAGCAGGACTGCCTCAGGTGACTCTTCATCTGAAGCCGGTTTGCTTGTGCAGTTCCAAATCCAGGAACTGTAGCCTTGTGTAAGTGTGTATACACTCACATGTTTACTCCTGGCCAGACACAGGCAAAGTTCCAGATTGTCAGACCTTGCTCCAGGCCAGGGGGAATCATAGCCTTGGAGTCCAAGGGGGAAGCTGTAGAGTCAGGTCCAACCATGGGAAGCCAGACACTTGGAGACTCACCTTCTACTAGACCTCCCCCAGGAGAGAAGCTGGGTGGGTGACAAGACACAGGAGATTAACGCAGACAAGTGCTGATTCTTACCTTCGGTATTTGGGCTTAGTTCCCTGCTCACCTCCCAGCCACACGGGAAGTCATGCATCTGAACTTGCATGGAGTGGTCTAAGAAGGTTGCTTGCAAGTCAACACACCAGTTCTTTCACATGGAGGAGGAACTAACCTGCACTTGCCAGCCATACTTCATTGTCTGTGTGACTGTGTCTGTGGCCTTGCAACGTGTCAAAAGGGTACCAGGAGGGAGCTCCTTCATGCTTAAGCTTTCTGTGCAAGTGAGTTGTTCAAACAATCCCAGTCTGGTGGAGAGCCCGTACACATAAAATTCTTCTTTTAAAAGATTTGTATCCTACCTTTCTACCAAGGAAATGGTGCTCAAGGATGCTAACAATAAGAAGAACCAAATTTTAAATTTAATAAATAAATTTTAAATAAATAAAATATTTAATCCTATTTTTGCATTATGCACTATGACTTCAGTTTGTGAATCCTTCATTCTTTAGATACAAAATAACGTGAAAAAGAGAGCATGCAGACAGGGGGACAGGCCAAAGGACTTATTGTTCATATACTACTGGAAAATGGAAATCTAATTAGCTGTTAATAACAAAAAAGAATAATAAAGCAAAATAGATACAACCATCAAGCAATAAAAACAGCACCTAACCAAACAGACTAACCCACATGCCCCAGGCCTGCCTGCATGAAAATGACTTTTCCTGCCAGCAGGAGGGCGACAGAGACAGAGCTGGCCTCCCACAGCAGGCTGCAACCGTGGGGGAGGCCCCCTCTTGTGTCTCCACCAAGCACACCCCCGATGTTCCCATGCTGAGAATAGCTCTCCCTGAAGATCTGTAAATGCTGGGAAGGCTCACACGGAAGAACGTAGTTATGGCTTTGTAGGGGTAGTGCGTAGGCTCCCCTCCATGTTCTGCGGGAGGCAGCATGTTGTTCATTCCTCTAAATATAGGCATGGAGGGCTTCTTGTGAATAACTTTATCAAGATGATTTCATGGGTGGGTTTTCGGGTGGGCATGGGTTGATTTACCCAGATTTCCTTACCGCCCCTCCCTTCGCATTGCCCTAATGGCACCATGTGCGCATGGCTCATACCTATGGGGAAGCAACCAAGACAACCACCAACGCACATGTAGACTGAGGGAAGGCAAGGACATTGGGAGGATCGACCCCACCACTTGTTGTAAACATGAAGTTGTAAACATGTATGCAGCTTGTAGCCACTATTGCTTGTACTAGTCGTTTCAAGGGGGCTACAAAGGGTTACACAGTGTGTGCTTGTATAAATTGGTATAAATCTCCCTCAGCATCCGTTTCTATTCCTGTCACCCATGACACTTGCTGTCAACAGCTGACTAAATAGTCTCATTAGATACAGTCTGTGAAAATATTTTGGTTTAGCTTCTGACTTTCACTGATTAAACAAGAATGTCTCTAAAATGGAAGCTGACAAATTAATGAGAAATGCAAACACATCCCGCGTATAAAATTGTTGAACAACAGAGTAATGGCTGCTTGTCTGATGGATGAAGATGATCGACTGACAATGACCACACACTGAACTCTCTGGGCACTGGTGGTGATAACAGTGGCCGAAATGTCAGCTATCCTTTCTGTTTCGCAATCTCCAAGGTTTTAAGGTACCGAGATTTTCCCCAGGGAAACTGTTTGTCCTTAAACTGACATTAATTGGTATGGCATGGGTCAGGAGAAAGGTACACCAGGATGCAGCAGGGAATTTAAACAGAGTTACCCATTTTTTCCTCTTAGAAAACATAAATAGAACAATCCTTTATTATTACATTCTTTGCCCTGGCTGCAGTTTAACCCATTTAATTTTTATGTCTTACAATTGCATAATTCGTCCATCAAGTGTAATAAAGTTAAATATTTACCTGAGAATGATCTGAAAGAACAAAACATTGAAATAGTATACTGTTACATACTTAACACTAAAAACATCTGAAAATACTGTTATTAATTCAGTTTTTATTAGCTCAGGGTTTTTGTGAAAGAGTATAGTCAGTGTGAGTTCTATGAGTAAATTAGTGTCCTAGGTTTTAACAAAATTAAACACACACACACACACACACACACACACACACACACACACACGGCTAGCTAGCTGGAGAGGAGGAGATAAGCTGAAAACTGGAAGTTGCTGTTGTGGGAGGAGGAAACTTTGTTTTGACTGCGCCTTTATTTTATATTTATGTTCCTGTGGAGCAGAAATATCGAGCAGCAGTCAGTGGTTGTTCATTCCCTGTACAATAGAAAGTATTTTCTACCTCATGTTGGCCAACTGGCCAAGGAGTCAAGTTGGACTCAGCTCTTAGGGCCATTCATTTCTGCCCAAGCTGTTTCTCTGGGTCTCCATGGTTTCTAACTGATAATACACAGAAGCTCAGCATCTCAGAAATATTTGGGTGCTGATGCCATTCTTGGAGGCTCAGAATTGCCTCCCAGGCAATGTTGTCTTATGAGAAACTGCTTATACCGTTAAGGGCAGCATGAGGACCCTCTGTTGAAAGATCAAGGCTGCTGTTTTATACTTGACCCAGGCTAGAGAATTTCACTGGTAGAGACTTTGTTATGGAACCGTCCTGCAGGAGACGTCCCCAAGAGATGTTTGCTTTTAACTCAGCAGCAGGACTAGGAGACTATCAAGGACCTGATCATCTTGGAATGGGCTGCTTCTGGGCAATGGGGACCTGGCGGCAAGCCAAGCTGCTTTGCACCAGCAAAAAGTAAGTCATTTCAACTTCCTGCGCTCCACATGGGGCAGCTGTTTCACTGGAAGAAGTGCCTGTAACTCCCAAAGAGGTGTATGTGAATTTGTAACCTAGAAAAAATGACCATTATGGGATGCCCTGAGATTTTCCAACATACAATGACATACATTTAAAACTGCTGCATGTTCTCAACTGCTCTTAGTTCATTTTTTTTAGGTTGCTGTATTTTGTTTTGTATTGTGGCTGTATTTTATCTTATTTTCTTCTGCATTAAATTTGCATAAGCTACTTACTTACTTTTCAAGAAAGGAGAATATACATTTTGCTCCCATAACTACAAATGTTTGGTTCCATGTTATGGCTTCGGCTGCTATTATAAGCATATAGGACAAGGAAGTAAGTTTTACTGCAGCTAAGGCTGAAGGATAATTTGCTGAAGGATTCAGCAGCAAACATGAGTCAAGGAAGCTAAATACACCACTGAGGTAGATGTTTGAAATTTGTAGGAAGGGTGGACTTAATCCTTTCCTGGCACGCCATTTTCCCTGTAAAACTTACCAGTTGTGTTTTCCCACATGAGATGGCAAGCAAACATCTGGAAATAAAACAGATGTAGGAAGGATGTGTGCAGGAGGAAAGGGAATTCTGTCCTTCCATCACATCTTTTCCTCAAAACATACTTCCTGCTACTTGGCATGGATAAACTATGGCTGGGTTCAGACAACATGATAACTCACTTAAGGGCTGAGTTTAGGTTGTGATTGAATTGTGGGTTGTTGTTGAAAGATTGGTTACCATGTTGTCTAAAGCCAACCATGATGGCAAACCATGGTTTTTAACCATGAACAACCTGTGAAAAGAACTCATAGTATGTTCTTCACATGCGATCTAGTTACTAACTGGTTGTTTGTGGTTAACAAACCATGGTTTGCTATTGAAACTGGGTTCAGGCTTCAGGTGATAACCCATCTTTCAATGACAACCCACATTCAACCTATAGTATACTTAGTCTTTAAGTGTCAATTACCATTTTCTGAACCCAGCCAATAAATGGGATTCTCCACACTTGTTGGTTCATTCTCAAATACTTAAAAACCACAGAACATATATATGCAACATACTCATATACACAGGGTCTGAAATAGGCGACATTCTTGCTGTTGTCTCCCACATCACTCCACGGTGTGCTTTTAACATAATCCCCTCCTTTTTTTTTGGCTACATGGTCTGATTTGACTGTCAGGCACAAGCAGGAGAAAGTGAATTTGCTGCTTGCAGAGTGCCCAATACTTCTGCTTTTCCTTACCAACCCATAAATGCTCCATTGTAGATTGTTTAGAGTGTCATCTGAACCCAGACCACATTTCAGGGGCTAAATAGCCAAGTAGTTAATCCAAAGCTTGTTCTGGGTTCAGACAACATGCTGAGCTATCTGTGAAAGAAAAAAAAATGGGTGTTGCTGAGGAAAAGCAAAGGTGTCTGGAGTGCTGCCAGCAGCAGGCCAACTGCCTTCCACTTGTGAACAACAATTCATGGGTAGTTTAACCCATGGGCTGTCATGTCATGCAAAGTTTTCCAGTGGGTATGTAAATATAGAAGCAGTTAACAACCTATTAGCCATGAACTCACTGCTTGGTCTCTCTGTTGGGCTCTAATTACAGCGCTTCCTTGAGCATGTGCTTCAATCCTCATAGCTCTCAGTAGGGTTGGTAAAGATTTGCCAGGATCCCTGGGGAGCTACTGCCAGTCAGAACAGGCAATACTGAGCTATGGGAGTCATGGATCCCCCTTAGGAGAAGCCAGCTTCCTGCATTCCTGATTACCAAGTTAACATTGCAAGAAATTAATCAGTCAGTCTCCTACATGTGCCAGTAGGTGTACTCACCAGCAACGAGCAGGTGGAGCTGCACATGAGGTAGAGGAATGGGGCAGCTGTGGTCAGTGACTGAACTTGCCTCCTATATGAGATTTCCTGTGGTTGCTTTCTTCCACCACTTGATGTCCATATGATGCTTGAGAGGTAGTTGGAGGATGCCATACTAGACCCAAGATTTACAGTTTCTCTGTGCTCAGAGGACTCACAGGGTGGGCTCCAGCTTTTAGGGGACAAGCCCAGCCTCTTATCCATGGGCAAGTTAAGGTCTGTAGGTGGGAGATTGCCCTCCCAGGATCTAGCCATCTTATTTTCTCACTCTGTGCCACTGCAGGAAATGTCAGTGGTGACGAGGCTGAGTTGCCAGCTCTGCTTGAAGGAGGGGCTGAAAGCAAGCATCAATGGCAGACTTGCCATGGTTCTGGGGTCCCAGAAGCTGTCCCAGGTTGCCAGATGCTGCTGGCTAATCCCGATCACAGACCCCAGTGAATTCAGCAGGTACATGAATATGCTATTTTAGTTCAGCCAATGCATTGATTGATTGATTGATTGATTTGACAGGTGAGTAAAACAGCCAAAGGACTCTCACCCCATCCCACTGTCCAGTTTGCTAACTTCAGATGTGTTTTTAAAAAAAACTTTTAATGTGAAAGTACATTCAAATATGCACCCTTTTTCAGGCAGCTCATTCTGGTCAGGACTGTGCCATATGCCTGTACTAGGTTGGGGTTGGCTCTGCATAAAACTTCCCCGGGAATGACATAAAAGTGAATGGCTGAACAAGGGCCTGCTTTCATACCAATTCGTGGTCACAACAGAACCCTGTTGCCACACATGCTGTGGGGTGCAATTCAGATAGAATTCAATTAGAAAAAGGACTTGCACAGAAGATGCACACAAAGGTTTAATGTTCCACACAATAGGCAGGTTAATTTAAAGCAAAATACTTGCATGTGGTTTTCAAAAGCTCATGAGTTTACCTGTGTTTTATGAGCCTTTCCCCTCTGTGTACACATGACAAGTAAGTTGCAAGATTTAAATCTATAAAGGCAATTAGCAAACAGCTGATGTGTCATATTTATACCTGGCCCTCATTTGGGGGTTAAGTTGCTTTAAATGTTAAGGGAGTCAGTGACACTGACTCCCTTCTCAGTGTTTAGCTGTAAAAAGGGCCCAAAGCAGTATATTCATCTAATTTATTTTAGATGTCTCTCTCTCCTGCCTGGCACTGCATATTATGAATGTATTAGTCTGATGTCATCTTAACTTTACTTGCATGAATTGCTGGCTGTCCCTTTAGACTTTCTTGAATGTGAATTGCATATTGTGAGGTGAGCAAATGGAAGGAAATCATAGACAAATAGAACTTCATTTTCTCGGTCATCAATTAATCTCTCTGATGCTTAGAATTATGAAGACCCAGAGGAAAGTAGATATATCCTAATGTGTGATTCTAAGGTACTTATCTAAAAGGGTACTTCACATATTTGGGGTATAAAGAAGCTGGCTGCAAAATGCAGGCCCTTCAGTTCATTGAGCAACACAATTGTTTTCTCTAGCAATGGAACGAACATACCATTTTTATTTCAGTGTACCATTCGTATGAATGCATTTAGTTTTCGGTTAAACTTATTTGAGCTTTCAACTCAAATTATTATTATTTTCTTCAACATATCTTCTATAATACAATTAGGTCTTGCTTTGCTATTCAGAAATGATCTAAGCTAAGACAAAGGTGAAAAATCTCCAGTCCAGGGGGTGTTTCCAATGATTCTGCTCTCACCCAGATGGCCAATTCCAGAAGGCAGCACTGGGTTATTTCAATTCCTCCCCATGGCAATAATGCTTTGTAGTCATTCAGGCGTCCATCTTATCTGCCATGCTGCTTAACAGCTATACAAAATGCTGGTAGAGTCTGCCCAGAGAGTCAGACTGAGATGTCATGAATATGCAAGATAATACCCAGGTGTCTCTGTTTCATCACAGCCCAGAAGGGCAGGGACCCTCTGCAGACATTCTACAGGCATGAATCATGGACGTGTGAGTGGCAGGGCATGTGGACCAGGTGCTATTTCTGTCCCACCCCCGTTGCTGTGTTTGCTGGCTTCCATGACTTGGAGGCAGTCCCTCGCCATGTGGAGTCTTCCCTAGCGCACTCCTTCTCTGTCCCCCCACCCCACCTCGAGTATTGATTCTACGCCTAAATGCAACTTTGAATAGGTTCAGTGGGTGCCTGGTATCAGTGACTGAATGGAAAATTGGACTCGGAGAGGACGGACAAGCTTAGACTTGTTCCAAACAAAGCAGAGAGTTGAGTGCCATTCAGCCTCATTGGAAGGCGTTCCATTTCCCTAAAGGATCAGCTTTGTGTTTGGAGGTTCTCATTGATCCAACTTTGTCATCAGAAGCACATGTAGTCGCTGTGACTTGGATTGCCTTTTATTAGCTTAGGCTGATAAACCTATTTCTGCAGAGAAATGGAATGAGAGTGCCTGGTTGGAATTACTGATGCTCTGGTAAGCTCGCTTGAAATTTAAGTGTCCAGAAAACTCTGGCTATGGGTCATTGTAGAAATGCCATGCATTAAATAGATGTATTTATTTATAAATATTTATAAGCTATCTGTGTGACAAAAATTATCCTAAATCATCTCAATAAAAGAATATGCACAATTAAAATATAATTAACAAATTAATAAAAGTAAAAATGCCCAGCCCAATACAAACATAAAACCAATCAATCACTAATTCCACGAAGCAGCCCAGTGATACCCTTAGGAAAAGATCACTGAAGATCTTCGGGCATGGGGTATTCTGCAACATTCTGTTAAATATTTAATATGAACTATAGACAGGAGTTTAAGCAAGAAATGGTTGCACCAGAGTAACAGAAGAATGGGACTGATGCAGGAGTTTAGCAAGTGATGTTAGTGTGGAAACAGCAACCCATGCTGCTGTCCCTGTTCCTTTATGTTTTTTTGGTTTACCTTGCGAGATAAGGCACTGTTATCCTTAAAACAGCCCTCTAAAAACCTGAAAGGCAATGCAAGGGTGGGTGCAATACATGGAGGTGGAAAATAACCTGAAGAAAAAGAGATAGTCTAGGATCATACAAGTTAAAGATACTAATGCTATTATTGAAA